CCACACACACACAATGCACACACACGCTGAGACACACACGCATGTACAAACCCATACACACATACTCAGATGCCCAGACATCTGCACACACTCACACGTACACACACGCAGACACACACCAACAGACACATGCATTCAGATGCTCACCCACGCACACTCACACGTGCAGACACGCACACACCAACAGACACACACATGCAGATGCTCAGACACCCGCACACACACACGTGCAGACACGCAGACACACACCAACACACACATGCATTCAGATGCTCACCCACGCACACTCACACGTGCAGACACGCACACACCAACAGACACACATGCAGATGCTCAGACACCCGCACACACACACGTGCAGACACGCAGACACACACCAACACACATGCATTCAGATGCTCAAACACCCGCACACACACGTGCAGACACGCACACACACCAACACACATATGCATTCAGATGCTCAAACACCCGCACACACACGTGCAGACACGCACACACATGCATTCAGATGCTCAGACACCTGCACACACACACGTGCAGACAACACACATATGCATTCAGATGCTCAGACACCCGCACACACACGTGCAGACACGCAGACACACACCAACACACATGCATTCAGATGCTCAGACACCTGCACACACACACACGTGCACACATCCACACACACATGCATTCAGATGCTGACACCCGCACACACACACGTGCAGACACACACCAACACACACATGCATTCAGATGCTCAGACACCTGCACACACACACATGCAGACACACACCAACACACACATGCATTCAGATGCTCAGACACCCGCACACACATACATGCACGCGCACATACCGACACACGTATACACACACACACACACACGCACACGTGTGCGTGTGAAGCTGTGGAATCTCACCAGGCTCTACAGCTGGTACCGATGCCAGCTTCCCAGGTTGGACACGGCACCGCGGACAGTGGCTGGGCAGGACGGTACCCCTGGGGTGGCTGGGTGAGAAGCGCACCCTCTGCCACTTCCCATGAATCTCGAATGACTTCAGCATGAAAAAAGTGCATGGACCTCCAAGAACGAAGGCTCAAAAGAGTAACAGAAAATTCGCCAAAAAGCCACGCACAGGGTTTATCTCCTTCTGAAAAGATCACCCTCTATTAATCAAATGAATGGCAGGAAAGAAGATCAGCTTTGTCACCTATTGCATGAGAGACCATGCTGTCACCATGTTCGCCAGGCTGGTCTTGAACTCCTAGCCCCAGGTGACCCTTTTGCCTCAGCCTCCCCAAGGGTTGGTATTACAGGCGTGAGCCGCTGCGGCTGGCCACGCCGGGGACGTTTTTAAGTGGAAAAGCATCCACGGAGGTCAGGCATAGCGGCTCACACCTGTAATCCCAGCGCTCTGGGAGGCCAAGGCCGGCAGATTGCCTGAGGACAGGAGTTTGAGACCAGCCTGGCCGCCATGGTAAAACCCCGTCTCTACTAAAAACAATAAAATGAGCTGGGCATGATGGCATGCACTTGTGGTCCCAGCTACTCGGGAGGCTGAGGCAGGAGAATCACTTGAACCTGGGAGGTGGAGGTTGGGGTGAGCTGAGATCGCACCACTGCTCTCCAACCTGAGTGAAAACAGCAAAACTCCATCTCAAAACAAACACAAAAATCCAAGGACCTAACAATTCCACTCCCTGACACTTACCCAGAGGAAATCCCCTGCGCCAGGTTACTCCAGGGTTTTCTCTAAAACCAGAGGTGTCTGCTCTGCACTCGTCATTCCGAGCATGTGTGACACTTACAATTGCACAGAGAAAGCTACGGGGAAATTAAAAATGGGAAGGACTTTCCTTTCTCTGTCAGCCCGCATTTCCTGGTGTCTCTTGTGGCCTTGGATCCTGGCTTTTTTGGCAGAAGACGAGGTGTCACTCAGAGATCTGTGCCTCAAGGTTTCCAAAAATGGGACGTGGTGGGCAGAAGAAGGCGTACAAAAATTACTCCCGTTTTAAACGTTTTCCAGTCCAGGCAACCAGGAAATCCCGGTTTTCCTTAAGCTCATCTCTAATGCCTTTTTTTGTTTTGCTTTTGTTTCGAGACAGGGTCTGGCTGTGCAGCCCAGGCTGCAGTGCAGAGGTGCGATCTAGGCTCACTGGAGCCTCCGCCCCCCAGGCTCCAGCAATCCTCCTGCCTCAGCCTCCCAAAGAGCTGGAACCACAAGTGCGCGCCACCACGCCCAGCTGTTTTGTATTTTTACTAGAGATGGGGTTTCGCCGTGTGGCCCAGGCTGGTTTCAAGCTCGGGCTCAAGTGACCCTTTTGCCTTGGTCCCCCAAAGTGCTGAGATCATAGCCATGAACCACTGCGCCCCGCCCCTTTCTGCTTGTTTGAATTGGGGTCTTGCCATCACCCGGGCTGGAGCGCAACGGCTCAGTGCAGCCTTGACCTCCTGGCCTCAAGCGATCCTCCTGCCTCAGCCTCCTAAAGTGCTGGGATTACAGGCATGAGCCACCTCACCCAGTACCTAACTCCTCTCCTGACACTAATTCTTAAGTATTAATAAATGCCGAAGAACAGGCAGACTCTTCACAAGGCAAAGCTCACGTTTAGTTAATTTTCAGGCATACCTTTCACACTTGCCTGGGCTTCTGACTCTCAGATCTGAAGTTTCCTCTCAAACGAGTTTAAGAGAAGCAAGGTGACTTAAACGGGTACTAGAGAAGCGTGCATGAGGAAGGGGCCCAGGTGGAGAGCGCGGCCGGAGGACCCCATCAGCGCTGGGGACTCCTGGCGAAGGGCGGGGTCCCTGAAGCCCACCCGGCACTGCCTGGAAGGAGGCCGCACCCACCGTTCCAGGGAAGCGGCAGAGGTTTGGGGAGGGATCACACAGCTCCGAGGCTCCATCCTGCTGATGAACCCCAAACTCCCCTCTTCCCGGGGTCCTTGGAGAATAGGAGGAGGAGGAAAATGACTGCAGCTCCCGGGCCCTGCCAGAACCCCTCTGCCCCTCGTACCCAGCAACTCACTGAACCCGAAGACGGAACGGGGGGCCATCTTGTGAGAGCTTTGGGGGGGCTGCATTCGGGGCCAGGAGACTGGCGGCAGTAAGGGGGGGTAACACCCACTCCAGGCTTGGGGCTCTGCGTCCTGCACCACCCCAGGCTCAGGCTGGTGTTAACCACATGGACTGAACTGGGGTGTCGGGGGTCACCCCGCTGTGTCCAGGAGCTGGGAGGGGGTCCCAGGCTGGAGCAGCCAGAACACATCCCTCAAGAGCAAGAAAGGCAACATGCTGGGCCTCCCCAGGCCGCTGAAGACTCCGCCCCGATGTTGTGGCAGGACGAGGCAAGAGCCTCCCCACCTACAGCGCTGGGGCAGGGCCAGAGCTCCCGAGGCGGCTGTAAGGAACCACGGAAAACCAATCTGCAAACATTCGAGGGGTTGCTGCTGGGACCAGGCTGGGCGTCCAGGCAGAGGCATCCCAGAGGGAGCATTCTCAGGGCCAGGCGGCCTGCACACCAGGGCTCTGGCTACCCGGGCACCAGCCTCAAAGCTGGGGGTCCGCACCAGAGCTGAGGGGAGGACAGAGAACAGCGGACAAGGGAAGACGCCTCCCACCCCTCCCCCACACCAGGCCCTGCTATAAGCTCACGCAGAGGCCCAGGGGGATGAGGATGGACGACCTTGGGAGCTGCGCCGCCTCCTCCTCCAGGAAGCCCCTGGGGCTTGACCCTCTGCCTCACTCAGGGAAGGTCAGCATGTCCAGTTCCTGAGCTGTTTCCGGGGGGCTGGCGGGGTAGTGTTCGGGGATTTCCATGCCTTAGGGAGCATTCCGGCCAGCCCTGGGGCCACTTCCTCAGGCAGAGGGGAAGGCGATCGCAGAGCAGTGAGGGCAGCAAACCGATGACCCTCCACGTGGGGTGGAGGTGCCCAAGTACAGACCCCCTTCACCCACCAATCAGAACCCTAAGACTCCAGCCAGAGCCCACCCCGGGGGTATCCTAGAGACAAATTCAAGACAGAACTTTCTCCCCAGGTCCCGGAGGTGGGAAGGACACAGCCTCCAGGCCCAGTCCCAAGGGACCCCCCACAAAAAAGATGCTGATGTCCTCGAAGACACCCAGAGGCTCTGAAGCAGCATCGGCACCCGCCCCGGCCCCCCACCACCTCCTGCCGACAGCCAGTGCAGGCCTTGCACGATGTACATCAGACTCCGCCCTCTCTCCACAGCCATCCAGGGCTCCCTGCTGGCCCCGATACAGAGACAGCGCCCCCCACCCCACCGGTGCTGCCTCAGGGCTTCTGTAGGAGCTGTTCCCACTGCCCGGCACGCTGTCCCCGGCCCCTTGCTCAGACCCTCAGGGCTCTGCCCGACACCCCCTCTGCGGACACCTTCCCCAGAGTCCCCACTTTGGGGCAGCCTGGCCCTGGCTGGGGGTGCCGAGAAGTCCGGGCCATGATTTGGTTTTGATTTTCAGGATTTTCAGACGTCTCCCCCCGTCTATCCCGCCCACCGTTGGGTCATCGGGAAGGGTGACCAGCTCTTCCACGTCCATCTGGGATCTTTCTGGTTTGAAAGATCCCAGGTCCCAGGAATCGCCCCTCAATCCTGGGCAAACCAGGATGGCCAGTCACCCTAGTGCTGGGCCCTGCATACAGCAAGCGCCTAATCCATGTTTAAAGGAAAGCAATGGAGTCTCACCAAGTGGGTGCGATTCTGCGCCACAACCCTCGAGGGCCTCAGTTTCCCCCTTGTGGATGGCTGGAGTTCCTCACCCAGACAGAGGCCCAGCCCTAACCCCATCCTACCAGCAAGGCCCCCCTCCTGCCCCCGCTCCAGGCTCCAGGGACACAGGGGCAGGAGCAGCTGATTCCGGGGGTCCTCAGGCTCACCAGCCCCGACCCGGCCTGTGCGGCCCCTCCTCCAGCCTCTGTGGCCCCAGGCACTGTCTCCCGCACACCCTCCATCTCTACTCCACCAGTGCCGGCAAGGAGGGGGTTCCTACCTGAAGCTCCGAACTGCGCGCCGGCCAGGGAGGCAGGCCGGCCCTTCCCGTTGGTGACAGGCAGCGGGAACATCTGCGGGGAGGGGGGGTGAGGTGAGCAGGGCAGGTGACAAACAAATGGAGGCCCGTCCTGTCCTGCTCCGTCCCACCAGGGACCAGAAGACTCTGGGGCCCCACTGGCCCTCAGCCACGCTGCACCCCAACACCCACGCCCAGGGCAAGGAAACTCCAGACATCGACTACCCCGCTGCACCCCAGGCGCTTTGGGGGAACAGAGTGTCCTGTTTAGACTAAAGATACAACTTAACAGCTCTCACAGTGACACGAGTTTGTGTTTACGAGTGACATAAACTTGTCTTCACTTGCCAGCTCTGAAAAATGAGAGGTTCACCCTGGACAGGTGGACACGAGTCCCGGACGCCTGAGGCCTGGCTGGCTCCCGGTTTCGGGTGTGTGCACTGGCCCCGGGCGGCAGGGCCTGCAGCAGGGCTGGGCATGGGTTTGCCTGGCAGAAGGGGAAACCAAGACGCAGGCAGGCAGCAGGTTGAAGACATGGGATGGAGCCCGGGGCCGCAGGAAGCCGGAGGGGCACAGCTGATCCAAGGTCTGGGCGCGAGGGGTGTAGGACTGCCCCCTCCCCTGCCCGGGTCACCAGTACCCAGGGCAGTAAGTCCCTCAAGATTAAACGGCTTAGCAGCATTAACCGGAAAAGCCAACATCAACAAAACCTTTTGCCACAGAAAAAAACAAAACCCTCTCTGCCCTGCCCTTCCCCAGGGGCTGGGTTTTAAAGCTCCCATTTGGGGCTCGAGGGATCAAAGTGGCTGGAATCAGGGCCAGGGGCTTTTTGAGGCGCGGCCAACCCGACCATCCCTGAAACCTTCCTGAACCAGCCAGGAGGCGAAGGCATGGCGCCTGTGCCACGATCCCGGGACTGGTGTCACCGCACCAAGAAGGGCCCAGGAAACGGGGTTCCACCCCCCACTCCCTGGTTCCACAAAGGGGAAATGGAGGCCACACTCTCACCTGGCCCCCGAGAGGAAGAACAGCCACTCGGGCAGGGCTGGCACCCAGGGTGGAGGCAGAGTTCACCCAGGATCGCACCCCTCCCACCAGCTGAGGTGTGCCCGCCTCCCCAGGGCCCTGGTATCTGAGGCCCACTCTCCCATTTGGGAAACTGAGGCTAGCCATGGGGGACAGGCCGGCCTGAGCCCGCCCACTTGAGGAGCTGCAACCGACTGCGTCTCTATTTGCTTTGCCCCTGAGCACAGCAGGGCTGCGCTGACGTGGCAGGGGCCACAGGGTACCGGGCTGTGGCCTGCGGGTTCCGCAGGCCTCGTGAACAGCCCAGAAAAGCCCCTGCGCCACTGGGAGCCTCGGCTTCCTCTTCTGTGAAATGGACTCGGGCTCTGGCTGCTTGGGATGCTGTGAAGCCCACGCGCCCATGGGCACCTGTGCAGGGCAAGCGTGGCTGACTCCCACCAGGGACTGCCTGGGACCCATGCACCGCAGGTCAGCGCAGGCCAGCAGCCCCCGGCCCTTCCTGCCCCTGACACAGCCAGCCCCGCCCGGGCAGGACGGTCAGCTTCCTCCCTCACATTTATTCGGAGGAGCCTCTTCTCCCACTTTATGCGAAACTGCTCCAGGGAAGCACCCTAAAGGCTCGGTTTCCGGGGTGGGGGCACAGGGCCACTCTGGGGCTGTGGGCAGGAATTAGGACTGCCTCTGCTCCCCCCAACCCGGCCAGCAGGGGAAACGCCCGCTCTGGGTAAAGCCAGATGGGGGGACGCTGCAGAGGACGCACAACTCACTGTGCCCAGCCTCAGCTTTCTTCCCTGGGAAAGGGGCCGCTGGCTCCAGCCTGGGACAGGGAGACAGGCTGAGATGCGAGGTGAGGAGCAGGTCCTGGGGCTGAACCTGCGCCCCCTCCCCCCAAACCCCCATCCGTTCCGGCCCAGTGGTCTGTGACTTGTCAGTTTAACAAAAACAACCAAACTGCACCTTGGGTTACTCAGCCAGGGAGTCAGAAATAAAACGGGCTCAAAAATATCAGCTCGGCCCTTCCTGAGCCCCGGCCCCTCCCGCCCCTCCGGCCAGGGGCTGTTTTTTTCCGCAGGGGGGCTGGTGTTGTTTCAGTTTGGGGACTTTTGTTTTTGACAGACCTCAGTGGCCTGCGCCTCACCGGGGGAGGGTTAAATTCAGACTGAAAGTGCCCTCCCCTAACCTGTTTCAACCCCAAAGGCTGCTGCTGGGCACGGGGGTGGGGGCAGGACTTAGCACATCTGCAGACAGGCTAGAGGAAACTGACCCAGGCCCCTGGCTTCTCCAGGAACGCACAGCACGTGGCCCCGAGGCCCTGGGCCTTCATGACGCCCAGCAGCAGCCTGTGCCCGACGATCGGGCTCTGGGGCTCCAGCCTCACTGTGCCTGCCTGAGCTGACTTCCAAAGGCTGGCACCCTCTGAGCCTCCAACCGTCCAGCTGGAAAATGGGCTGTTCAGGGACAGATCCGAACACATGGGACTCCCAGGGAGCCGCCCTGCCCTCGCCACCGGCCTGTCTGCTCCCCAGTGATGACCATGACCGTCACAGTGGTGGCGCTGCTGTGTGCCCTGCAGGTTGCACTCACTCCTGACCCAGCCTCAAGCCCGGCTCCTGGCATGGCAACTTCAGCAACCACGTGTGACTAACCGCACAGTCAGCTGCACGCCTATGTCCTCTGCCCACCAAGGGAGTCCCATAGGGGCCTGGTGGTGCCTGCCCCATTCACAGAGGGTGGTCCGCTCTGCAAGGGGCACCCCCTTTTTTTCTTTGAAACAGAGCCTTACTCTAACGCCCAAGGGGGAATGCAGTGGCACAGTCACAGATCACTGCAGCCTCGACCTTCAGGGATCAAGAGATCCTCCTTGCCCCAGCCTCCAGAGTAGCTGAGACCACAGGCACACGCCACCATGCCTGGCTTTTTAGAATTTTTTTTTTTTTTTTTTTTTTAAAGAAATGGGGATGGCCAGATGCGGTGGCTCACGCCTGTAATCCAACACTTTGGGAGGCCGAAGTGGATGGATCACCTGAGGTCAGAAGTTCAAGACTAGCCTGGCCAACATGGTGAAACCCCATCACTACTAAAAAAACAGAGACAATGCCAGGCGTAGTGGCTCACGCTTGTAATCTCAGCACTTTGGGAGGCCGAGGCGGGTGGATCACGAGGTCAAGAGATCGAGACCATCCTGGTCAACATGGTGAAACCCCGTCTCTACTAAAACTACAAAAAATTAGCTGGGCATGGTGGCGCGTGCCTGTAGTCCCAGCTACTCAGGAGGCTGAGGCAGGAGAATTGCCTGAACCCAGGAGGCGGAGGTTGCGGTGAGCCGAGATCGCGCCATTGCTCTCCAGCCTGGGCAACAAGAGCGAAACTCCGTCTCCCAAAAAAAAAAAAAAAAAAAAAAAGAGAGAGACAATTAAGGGGTGTGGTGGTGCATGCCTGTAATCCCAGCAACTAGGGAGGCTGAGGCTGAAGAATCACTTGAACCAGCAGGCAGAGGCTGCAGTGAGCCCATATCGTGCCACTGCACACCAACCTGGGCAGCAGGAGCGAAACTCCATCCCCACCCCCACCAAAAAAAAATGGGGTATCACTATGTTGCCCGGACTGGACTTGAACTACTGGCCTCAAGCGATCCTCTCGCCTCAGCCTCCCAAAGTGCTGGGACGGCAGGTGTGAACCACTGTGCCCAGCCCTGCTTCCATTTATTGAAACAGGGTCTCGCTGTCATCCAGTGGCCTTTTACCTTTAATTTTTGTATCTACAATGGAGTAAACAATCCTGATCAGCCCTATTTTACAGATCAGAAGATCAAAGCGGCAGTTTGCTTCGCCAGCCAAACTGAGGCCCCAGAACCAAGCTGCTGAGGCCAAGTCCTCCCCACAGAGAAGCTGAAGACCCTGGGTGGTCCTGCCCACCTCAGTTTCCCCATCTGTAAAGCAGTGGGCTGTGCCATGCTGTATCCGGGAGAAATCCCCATGGCGCAGGCCTTGCCATGGGCTGTCAGCATCCCTGCCAGAGAGCAGCCCACTCCCCCAGCCCCATCCGGGACCTCCCGTCCAAACAGCCGAGGCCCCATTGCTGCAAGTACTCAGCAGACACTCGCCCCGAAAACCTTCCCGTGAACTCTGGGGGCAAGGGGTGTCGGCGGCTGGGGGAGGGGGGAGGTCCTGGCTCACCATGCTGAAGTCCAGGAGGTCACTGAGCTCCTTGTCCGTGCCCACGGGCGCCATTCTCTGCGGCTGGTTCATTCTCCTGGGGCCAGGGTGGGCACCTCAGGACTGGAATCCCTGCGTGGTGGACGTGGGAGAGACGGACAGGGAGAAACAGCGAGAGAAGAAGAGCTGAATATCAAAAGCGCAGAGCTGGGAAGCCGCTTAAAAAGCTCCTCACCTGCCCTGGGGTCTGGCTTCTGGGCGGGCCCTGGGAAGCTGGAATTCCAGAGTCTGGGTCCCTGAGACCCCTCCCCAGAGGCCACAGGGAGTCTGAAAAATGGGGGGAGGGTGTGCACATATAAACTCCCTGCCTCCCCCAGGGACCACCAGGGAATCAAGTTGCCAATTTTAAACTGCAAACAGGGCGGCCAGAACACCTCTCCTTTCTCCACGTCTCATTTCCAACCATCTACCCCCCCCCCCCCGCCCCGGGCTTCCTCCCAGGCACCCCTCCGGGAAGGGGAGGAACAGCCCGACCCTACCCCACCCCGCGGAAAATATGGTGATTCCCCCCCACCAGCAGATGTCACAGCACGTTGAAGACCAGGTTGCCCCTAAATTCAACATGAAGGAAACCCACAAGTCAGAAAACCACGAAGCCCTTTTACAAACTTCACGACTTAAAGGGGGGAGGTGAGCCCTATGCAGGGACCGGCAAAGCTTCCCTCAACCCTTGAATCTCCTGCCCCCAGAAAACCCCAGTAGTATTAGACGGGAAAAAAAACACAACCCTAGGTTGCTTTACTGCCACCATGTACCCAGGAATTATTTTTAAGCAAAACTTTGACATCTCCTCTCTTCTGCCCTACATGGGGGGACATGGGGGTCCCAAGACCAGGGTGCCCCCGCGTGGTCCCAGGAGGCTCCATACCACAATGGGGGATGAGGGATCCACCTGCCAGTTCCCATTCCGCCCCCGGAAAAAGGAGCTGAGAAAAATCTTCGTCCCAAAGAAATCCACTCCAGTCCCCTCGGGTTTCGACTTTCCCCAAGAGGTCCCCAGGTGGGGGTGGGGGCGGGGGCAGCCCGGGAGACACCTCACAGGCTGAGGGTGGAGAGGGGCCTCCGAGGTGGAGGGAGACCCAACTTCAGAAGCGGAGAAATCCCCTCTTTGTCTGCCAACTGGAGGCCGGGTGTGAAACGGGCGCCCCAGCGCAGCCCCTCCCCCGCTAAGTTTTTTTCTTTTTTGGAGGGCGTGTGAAACTGACTTTGAGGGCTATGAAACCGCACTTTTTTGTGGGGTAGTTGAAACCGATTTTAAGACAGACTTAGTTGGGGGGGGGTGGCAAGCTGAAACGGGCATTTCTATGGGAGCTGGAAGACTTCTGAGGCGTCCCAAGGACTTTTGGAGACTTGGAGGATGTTTGAAGCCACTTTGCACGGCGCGGAAAAGGGACCCTGAAACGCCTTTTTCCCAGGGGGAGGCAGCCCAGGAAGCCGGACCCCCTCCCCCCGCAGCCGGTGCAGGCGGCGCGGCCCGGGAGCCTTTGAAGCTCGCAGCGTGGCCGCCGCCTCGCCCGCATTAACGCGGAGCAGATGTTCCCCGCGCGCCCCCCCGGCCCGCCCGGCCCCGACCAGCGCCTGCAGCGCGCGGCACCTTCCCGGCGCAGACAAAAGGACGCCCCTCCTGCGCGCTGCCCCCGAAACTCCGCCGCCCGGGCCAGGCCCCCCCAACACCGGGGGAAGGAGGAGTCCCGGGGTCCCCGCGCGCCCGGGTGGCGGGGGCGGTCCTCGCGCCCAAGTTGCTCGGCCGTCCGGCGCCCCCCGCGCCCCCGCCCGGGGCTGCGCAAAGTTTCCCGAAGTGCCCGGCCCGGCGGTGGGGGGGCGCGGGCCTGGCGAGCTCCGGGCCCCTCCACGTCGCCGCCCCCAAGGCGCCGCACGAAGTTGGAGAACAATAACTCCCGGGCCCCGGGGCGCCCCCCGACGCCGCCCCCGCCCCGACTTCCTCCGCGCCCCCCCTCAAGCGCGAGCGGGGCCGGCCGGGGTCCCCAGGGTACAAAGCGCAGGGGTCCCGGGTGCGGCCCTCGCCCCCCACCGGGCTCACCTGCTGGGCGCGGCCGGGCACGCGGCGCGCAGGAGGCGGCGGCATGAAGCGGGGCCCCCCCCGGACAAAGGGGAGTCGCGGCCGGGCCCCTGAGGGTCGCGCGTGGGCGGCGGCGACGCGCGTGTCCCGGGCCCCTCCCACCCCCGCGTGTCCCGTCCCGCGGGGCCCGTGCGTGCGGCCGGCCGGGGAGCTCCTGAGGCAGCGGCGTGCGCGGTGCCCGCGGTGCCCGCCGCCGCGTCGGCTCCGGCCCGCTACGCCCGCAGCCGCCGCCGCTGCCTCATCTTCCTGCGGCGGGAGACATGTTCCGCCCCCGGCCCGCGCCGCCCCGCCCCGCCCCGCCCCGCGCTGGCACCGCCCTCGCCCCGCCCCCACGTGCCCCGCCCGGCGGCCCACGCGGATCCCTCCGCCACCTTCGGGCGGCTCGGTCTCGAACCTCGCAGCTCGGCCTCGCGAGCATGCTCATGAAGTCCCCGAATCCCCGCGAGGCCCGGAGGTCGCGGGCGCGGGCGCGCAGTGGGGGCGGTCGGGCCACAGCACGGGGAGAAAACACGGACTATCCCCGCCCGCGGAGGCACACGGAGCTGTGCGCTTAATATGACGTAAGCGGATAAAGACCGTGAGATTGAAAGATAAGGCAGAACGGCCTGGCCAATCGGAAGACGTGAAAGCCTGATGGGCGGGGATCCCCGCCATTCGTAATGAGGCCCCGCCTTGTCCCTTCTCGGCCCCGCCCCGCAGGAGAGGCGGGACTCTGCGAGAGAGAGAGGCCGCGAGAAGCGGCGGGGGTTGGTCCTGGAGTTTTGTTCTGAAGTTGGTGTTGCCGCCCGCTTGGCCCTTTCGGCTTGGTTGTATTTGCGTTCCTCGGGCCGGCTCTTCGTACTGAGTGGTTGGAGCGGGCCTCCTGGCCCGTAGGGGGCCACGTCAGACCCATTTTCCTGGCAGGGAAACCGAGGCTCACTCCAGCTCGGGGTCGGAGAGCCCGAGCGGTGCCTTTGCCTATCTGAGCCTCCGTCTCGACATGTATGAATCTGGACCTGAGTTTGGGCAGAACTCAGGCCAGATCCGGCTTCCTGATTTAATAGTCCATGGCTGCATCTCAGTAAAAAGTGACCCCACCTAAGGCCGGGCGAGGTGGCTCCCACCCGTGATCCCAGCGCTTTGGGAGGCCACAGCCAGAGGATCGCTTGAGGCCAGAAGTTCGAGATCAGCCTGGACAACATAGACTCCCATCTCTAAAACATTTTAAAATAATATGAAATAATAATTTAAAAAGTTGACCAGACGCGGTGGCTCACGCCTGTAATCCCATCACTTTGGGAGGGCAAGGCAGGTGGATCACTTGAGGTCAGGCGTTCGAGACCAGCCTCGCCAACATGGTGAAACCCCACCACTATAAAAATACAAAAATTAACCTGGTGTGGTGGCATGCGCCTGTAATCCCAGCTACTCGGGAGGCTGAGGCAGGGGAATCACTCGAACCCAGGAGGCAGAGGTTGCAGTGAGTGGAGATTGCGCCACTGCCCTCCGGCCTGGACAACAAGAATGAAACTCCATCTCAAATAAATAAATAAATAAAACGAAATAAAAATACAAAAATTAGCCGGGCACAGTGGCTCACGCCTGTAATCCCAGCACTTCAGGAGTCCGAGGTAGGCGAATCATGAGGCCAGGAGATCCAGACCATCCTAGCCAACAAGGTGAAACCCCGTCTCTACCAAAAATACAAAAATTAGCTGGGCTTGGTGGCGAGCGCCTGGAGTCCTCGGGAGGATGAGGCAGGAGAATCGCTTGAACCCGGGAGGCGGAGGTTGCAGTGAGCTGAGATCGTGGCACTGCACTCCAACCTGGGTGACCAGTGAAACTCCGTCTCGATAAATAAATAAATAAATAAAATGCAATCCCCCAGGGCTCCAAAGAGAAATCTACACTCCACTCCCAGCCTGGCAAGGCGCCACCATCCTGCTTGGCTCCGGCCTCCCTGCCTCCACTGGTCCAGAACCTGCTAAGCTCTTGCCCACCCCGGGCCTCCACATCTGCTGTGCCCTCTGCCTGGGGTGCTTTTCCCACCCGCATCTGGAGCCCCTGGCTCATCACAGTTCAATGCTGCGCCCAGTCCAGGCCAGCAGGGAGGTGGGGCCACAGGGCTCCCCCCCACCGAAACCAGCAGCCCTTCCTGCCATGCACCCAAAGTGAGCCGTGCACACTCTGACCCTCCGTGCCCAGAGACTCCCTGCACCTGCTGCAGATCTAGGGAGAGGGCTGAGGGTCCCGGGGTGTGCACTGCAATCCCTCATCCCTCTCCACCTCGCCGTGACCTCGGGCATGTTCCTGCTACTCTCTGGACCTCAGTTTCCCCATCTAGAAAGTGGAAGGGCTGGCATTGGGCACAGAGTAGGTGCTCACAGCTGATGCCTGCCTCCCTGCACCGCCCCCCTGCTTCGAGGCCTCTCCGGAGCTAGGGTCTCGAAGCAAGTCCCATCCCAACCCAGCGTCCTCAGCATCCGGCCCTTCCTTGTGACCCCATGGGTGTGGGGGTGTCTGTGGCCAGGTCTGGCTCTCCCCGTTCCAGCTTAGGGGGCTCTTGAAGGCTGGGCTGGAGCCTCACTCACTGTGGGCCACTCCCCACTCACATTCAGGGTCCGGGCCACAGGGTGGGGGCCAGGGTCCCCCTGAGGAGCCCTTCAATTTCACCCACCGAAGGGAAGCAACCATCCATTCACAGACCACTTATTATTATTATTGTTGTTATTTTGAGAAAGTGTCTCACTCTGTCACCCAGCCTGGAGTGAGGTGGTGCAGTCACAGCTCACTGCTTGACCTCCTGGGCTCAAGCGATCCTCCCGCCTCAGTCTCCCGAGTAGCTGGGACCACAGGCATGCGGCACCCCACCTGGCTAATTTATTTATTTATTTATTTTTTTGAGACAGAGTTTTGCTCCATCGCCAGGTGCCAGGCTGGAGTGCAGTGGCGCCATCTCGGCTCACTGCAACCTCCGCCTCCCGGGTTCAAGCAATTCTCCTGCCTCAACCTCCCAAGTAGCTGGGACTACAGGCGCCCACCACCACACCCGGCTAATTTTTGTATTTTTAGTAGAGACAGGGTTTCACCATGTTGGCCAGGATGGTCTCGATCTCTTGACCTCGTGATCCACCCGCCTCGGCCTCCCAAAGTGCCGGGATTACAGGCATGAGCCACCGTGCCCGGCCTAATTTTGTGTCTTTGTAGAGACCGGGTTTCTCCCTATGTTTGCCAGGCTGGCCTTGAACTCCTAGGCACAAGTGATCCTCCTGCCTGGGTCTCTCAGGGTACTGGGATAACCGGTGTGCGCCCCTGCTCGGGACAGGACTATTCAATTATTGGGCGCTGACAGTGTACGGGGCCTTGCACCAGGCATGGAAGCCCTGCGGACAGTGACACTCTCAGTTCCTCCTCTCCTGGGCAAGATGGCCCATCAGGGGTCCCTTGTCTTGTCCTGAATGTGGTGTTTTTTTTTTTTTTTTGAGACGGAGTTTCACTCATGTTACCCAGGCTGGAGTGCAATGGCGCGATCTCGGCTCACCGCAACCTCCGCCTCCCGGGTTCAGGCAATTCTCCTGCCTCAACCTCCTGAGTAGCTGGGATTACAGGCACGCGCCACCATGCCCAGCTAAGTTTTTGTATTTTTAGTAGAGACAGGGTTTCACCATGTTGACCAGGATGGTCTCGATCTCTTGACCTCGTGATCCACCCGCCTCGGCCTCCCAAAGTGCTGGGATTACAGGCGTGAGCCACCGCACCGGGCACCTGAATGTGGTTCTTTCCAGACCTATGTTTACTGTGAAGTCCTCCCGCCGGAGGTGTGGTTGCACCTATTGTACAGATGAGGAAACTGAGGCTCAAAGATCTCTCTGCTGGCAACCACAGGCCTCCATTGTTTCCTGGAGGAGGGCTGTCCTGGGCTGAGTCACTGGGTGAGGCAGCCTGTGGGGGGCCCCCCCCCGGCTACCACCTCTGCCCAGCCCCGAGACCTGGGTGCTGCCTCCAGGGCCCTGGCATGGGGACAGGCAGCCAGCCAGCCTCCTGACTGCAGCCTTTATTCTGCTGTGGGGCCGGAGGAGGAGTGGGGCCTCTCCACCTGCCGCCTGTTCCCGCCACACCTACTGTGTGCGCCCCCACCAACCGGAACCACTTCTGTCAGAAAAACTCAGGCCAAGGACGAGTTCCCACCAGGGAGCGGTCGGCGCAGGAGCCGGGGGCGATGGTGAGGCCTCAGCTGTCCACACAGAGTGGACTCGGACCAGGACCTCGGGGCCAGCCTCCGGACTCCTGTTCCATTTGTCCCCAAAGTGGGCACCTTTGACTTCTCCGGGATGAGAACACACTCAGGCACCACCCCCGGCACCCCCCCCCCCGGGGGGGGGGGGGGGGGCTGGCACTTATCACTGGGGACAAAAAAGGGGTGTGCCCCCCGGGGGCGGGGGGGGGGGGGGGGGGGGGCCTCCTGCTCGGGCTCA